ATTTTTATAGATACAATTCATTTAAATAAATGCTGTTTTTAACTAAACACTATATTTAATTAAATTGTATTCATAAAAGTAAACAGAAAAATATATTAAATAATTGTCAGGCTTAATCCATTTCATAATACACACACACAAATATATATATATATATATATATATATATATATATATATATATATATATATATATATATGTGTGTGTGTGTGTGTGTGTGTGTGTGTGTGTGTGTGTGTGTGTACACCTCAAAGATTTGATAAAATATTAGCATACATTATGAAAAAATGTCCCACTTTAATAAAAACACAGTTTTATCGGCAAAATCTTTATTCTATTATTTAGAGCAAAGACAAACGGATTTTTATTATTAAATTATATGTTTGATCCTTTTCAGAACATTCGAAATTTTTGTTAAAAATTTTGTTTGTCTTGCGTCAGTGGAGGACCATAAATTACTATAGGAAATTTCAGTGTCTTTTTGAGTTGAAAATCACATTATTATAGAATTTTTTGCAAAAATCAAATTGTCAGATTTTAATTAAACTTTCAGGGCATATTCACAAATTGTTCAGAAATCTTTTTTTTTTTCTTTTTTTTTCTTTATTTTAGAAAATCTTGGTAAACCTTTTTCTTTTATGTCTGTTACTCAGCACTTATTTAATTTTATGAAATCTCAAGAAATTAATTTTTTACCGCTTAAAGTTTTTATTAGATATACTCAGAATCTATTGGGGCATTTAAATCAGCGACTTATTTTTATAAAACAGAACTCTATGTTACGGAAAATCTGGTCTGAATCGTAAAATAAAACTTAAGACATTATTTAATTAGAAAAGCTTTAAATTGCTTTTCTGAATATGATATATTATGGACACTATTGTCTTAATAAAAAAATATATGAATAATTAAGTTTAACAAGTGTTGTTTTCATTTGAAAAAATCATTAGAATAATTGAATAAAGTTTTAAAGAAAGAAAGAAAGAAAGAAAGAAAGAAAGAAAGAAAGAAAGAAAGAAAGAAAGAAAGCGAAAACCATCAAGATAGTGTTCATTATTACTTATGAAAAGAAAGACGGAAAGAAAGAAAGAAAAAAAGAAAGAGAGGGAGAGGGAGGGAGTGAAAGAGAGAGAAAGAAAAAGAGAGAAAGCGAAAACCATCAAGAAAAGGCACAATGTTACTTAAGAAAGTAGGAAAATAAAAGGAAAAGAAAAGGACAAGAGAAGAGAGAGAGAGAAAGAAAAAAAGAAAAAAATAAGAAAGAAAAGGCCATGAAATTTTGAAGTGAGAAAAGATAAAAAGAAAAAAATGAGAGGTATCAAGAAAGAGAACATTATTACGAAAGAAAGAAAGAAAGAAAGAAAGAAAGAAAGAAAGAAAGAAAGAAAGAAAGAAAGAAAGAAGTGTTGTATACGAACAAAATAGAAAAGGAAGCAAATTAATGCAAGGAAAAATAAAGAGGGAGAGTATCAAAATACGGAAAGAAAGAAAGAAAAGAAAGAAAGAAAAGAAAAGAAAGAAAGAAAGAAAAGAAAAGAAAGAAAGAAAAAGGCGTTGTATACGAATAAAACAGAAAAGGAAGCAAATTAATGCAAGGAAAAATAAAGAGGGGAGAGTATCAAAATACGGAAAGAAAGAAAGAAAGAAAGAAAGAAAGAAAGAAAGAAAGAAAGAAAGAAAGAAAGAAAAAGGCGTTGTATACGAATAAAACAGAAAAGGAAGCAAATTAATGCAAGGAAAAATAAAGAGGGGAGAGTATCAAAATACGGAAAGAAAGAAAGAAAGAAAGAAAGAAAGAAAGAAAGAAAGAAAGAAAATATTGCATATTTATTGATAGAGCGCAAATCTCGAAAAGAGTTGCTGAAACATTTATGGAATGCAGTTGACTAAAACAAATGTCGGGATTGGTCTAAAATATTGGTTGCCAAGAGACAAATGAGGGTGCATCTACAACTAAAATGCTATCATTTAATTTTCATAAATAATACATCATTTTTTTCAAAAGATACATATGTAAAAAAAAGGTTAAAATTAAAAGTTTTGTGGAAGAAAAATGTGTATTTCTTCGTGATTACAGTGCATATGTAGTATACATGTTACTAGCAGTAACACAAAAGTAAATACAGAATGTTATAATTTAATTTTTTTTTTAAATTTTAAGTAATTGGTTGATATTCGTTTACTGCACGATTTACACATCAACAGATAGTTTGAAAGCACAATAGAGCATTGCAAGCAGTCCACTATATTAAGAACAATTGTCTTTGTTCATTAGATGATTGTACCAATCTGGCAATAATTGATTCGTCATCTAATTCATCGAACAATTTAGAAATTTAGCGCCTTAAACGTTATTATTCGTGGATACTCGCATTTAAGTATATATACATACACACACACATATATATTTTCTTTCGATTTTATGAATCTGTTGTGCATATTTGTTTGTAAGAGCATTAATTTTGTTAAGAAAGGTGAAATAGGGAAAAAGCTTGGGCGTAAATTAATATTTGGATAATTTTCTATGGTGGCACTCTCCAGAATTTTCCTTCTGAGTGAGTTATTTTCTTTTTTTATGAGTGTAGCATTTTTAAAATCAAAATTATGGTTGTATTTATTTCTATGTATGACTATTGCATTAGCTAAGTTGTTTTTTGTGAGGTCTCTTTTGTGCTCATAAATGCGTTTTCACCGTATATAATATGATATTTTATTACTGAATACGTTATATTTAGGCGATACGTGTTTAGGCGATATGTGTTTTTTGAACAGTATACGAGGTCTGTCTGAACAGTAACAGAGTTGGTTGTGCCGTGTGAGTTCTCGGCGAAAGTGAGATAAACGGATTGTGTTATCTTCTAACAGGATATCTTTGAAGTATATAATATAATATAATATAGTATGTAATCTTAGCTTTCTGCAACCATTGCATTTTTTTTACATGGGAGAGTTGTGGCAGGAGAAATTGTGGCTGATTCATAACGACAATGCACCTCTTCACAACGCCCTGAGCATCCGGCAGTTTCTGGCCGAGAAGAGCATCGCCGTACTGAAACAACCTCTCTGTTCACTTCATCTGACTACGTGTGATTTTTTTCTTTTCCTCAAGATCTAGGGGATTATCAAGGGGACCCGTTTTGAAATCGTGGAGACCATCAAAAGGGTCGTAACAACGTAGCTGAGAGACATTCAAAATGAATCCTTCCAGCAGTGCATAGAAGCGTGGCAGAGAAGGACAGAAAATTGCATTAGACTCGAGGGAGATTACATTGAAGGGGAAACAATTTGGTTTTTTGTTTGAAATTGAAATAATTTTTTTGTGACACCAGTCCCGTTACTTTTCAGGTTGGTTCGTTGATTTTGTTTAGCGGCATATTGAGGGTAGCCTCCAAAGCTCATTATGTTGAAACACCGGTTTCCGAACGATCATCGAAGTTAAGCAACTTCGAATCTGGTCAATACCTAGATGGGTAGCAGCTTGGGAATACCAGATGTTCTAAGCTTAAGTGTACCGGTGGTGCAATGAATAATGGCTCTGAATTGTTAATCGGAGAGCCGAGTTCCAATTCCCGTTGGTTTTGTTATTGTTATGGGATCCACCCCTTTTTCATACAAGTGGACTCGACCAGTGTGTACTTGTACTGCTGCCGGTGAATACCCGGGAGTTAGACGAGAGATACACTGATACAGTGAGAGTGTGAGGTTACCGCTTTGTAGGAGTCACAGTTGCGAGCACGTAGACTCAGACTATATATATATTATTATTGATACTAACCGCATTTCTGGATCTACTAACCGTATTACCAATTGTATTATTACGTCAATACATTTATTTGCTATATTTCATTCCTGCGTTTGTCATTCATTTGAGACCGGATTTCATTTCAGAATCCACAAGTTATATTAACTGACGCTCAAATACCCTTGGGAAAGGTATGAATCAACCTCGTCTCCTCCCAGCTATGGGTTAATTAGTGAGACTAAACCATTTTTCTTCTTCTTTGTGTGCCGTGTCCCTTCAGGACGTTGGCGATCATGGTCCGCCACCATTTCCTATTTTTCGTAGCTCTTAATATTTTTTGCCTTTTTGTTATTTCTCCTGAATCCTGTTCCGTCATTCATTTACTCAAGCTCTCCAGGTAGGTAATACATTGTTTTGCCCTATGAGTATCAGATTTTCCAAGCCCTTTTTCCTCAATATGTGCTATAGAAATTTCATCTGTCTCTTTCTGGTGTTATGTATGTTTCGTTTCAATTTCCATTTCTCTAAAACTTCGTCGTTGCTCATATATCCGGTCCGTGGTATCCTTAGCATCCTTCTGTAGAACCACATTTCTGTTGCTTCAAGTCTCTTCTTCATCTTTGAGGAGATTCTCCAACATTCATTGCCATCTAGGAGGGCTGATATCGCGTAACAGTTCAGTACTTTTTTCCTTGTTTCTTACGAATTTTTTATTTCTTAATACTTTGCTTAGGTTTTGGAAGGCATCTTTGGCTATCTCAATTCACTTTCGGAGTTCAGTGTCGTATTTTCCGTCTCCTAAAGCATTATTATCTCCCGAAAAAATTCTTAGAATCTAAAATTATTTTCTGGCTTTAAATAACCTGCAAAAGGTTGCTAAGCCGTAGAAACAAATCAATCAGTATTAATCATTATGCAACGTACGGCCTGTTGTCTACAGCAAAGCTGGGATAGGCCGATACAACAGTCGGAATATATCTAGCATAAATGGTCACAGTGGAGAAAATACAAAAAATGGAGGAGCTTTGCAAAAGGATGCTAAGAATATAATGAACTGAACATGCGAGTGACGAGATAATTTTAAGGAAATCTGAAAGCCGAAAGAAAAACACTATACAAATCCGAATGGCGTAGTGCATCACAGTCAGGTAACTCGTGTGGCTGCGTTTCTACCAAACTGTATTGATTTACCCTTTCCTTTGGACTCCATGGGCAGGAGGGAGGATCTTGTATGGACAGCCCAAGATCCACATAGCTCATGGTCAGTGCTACACCGTCGTCTCCTGAAATGTTTCCTGTTGCCTTCTCCACAGATGCCGTTTCTTTATCATCTACGAATTGCCATGAATTCTTGGGAAAGATAATGTAGAGGTTTCCCATTGTCTTCTCCACATGTGCTGTTTCTTTATTATCTACGAATTGCCCTGAATTCTTTGAAAAGATAGTGGAGTGGTTTCCCACTGCCTTCTCCACAGATGCCGTTTCTTTATTATCTACGAATTGCCATGAATTCTTGGGAAAGATAGTGGAGTGGTTACCCGTTGCTTACTCCACAGATGCCGTTTCTTGTACAGACAGCCCAAGATCGACATAGCTCATGACAAGGCCAGCAGTACTCTGTGCTACACCGTTGTCTCCTGAAATGAACGAAAGTCAGAGAATGTGCGTGTGTGCGAGTATGCCGTGATGTGTTGGTGCATCCACCAGAGGAAGGCCGACAAATACATGAGCCCTTATCATGCGTTTAAGACCAATACATGTGAGGATATTGGAACGAGCTATGGAGTGTGCCGTTAGGGGAATGGTTGTCGACACGGAAAATGGACTCGGCGAGTTGGGTTCAAATACCGTCCTAGCAGTGTTTCAATTTCTTTCGGACTAAAGAACTTGCCTTATATAAATAAAAATATTATTGCTAATAACGTAGAAATAGGATCATTCATGATCGGAAGAAATAATCGATGAATACAAGCAAAAATAATTATATTTTATTATTAAATAAATCGTCTACCTCATATTCAAAAGTTTTCTTTAAACCAATAAAGAAGAATTGCTTACTGTGGATATGCTCAAAATACATTCCTGAGGCCAAGACACAAATTATTCAGACATTTAGGTTTGGTTTGTTTTCTTTTACGACATATCAACCTTGTTTTTCTTTTACGGCATATCAACCTTGTTTTTCTTTGACGGCATATCAACCTTGTTTTTCTTTTACGGCATATCAACCTTTTTTTTTTTTTTTACGACATATCAACCTTGTTTTTTTTTTTACAGCATTCAACCTTGTTTTTTTTTACGGCATATCAACCTTTGTTTTTCTTGTTTTTTTTACGGCATATCAACCTTGTTTTTCTTTTGCATATCAACCTTGTTTTTCTTTTACGGCATATCAACCTTGTTTTTCTTTTACGGCATATCAACCTTGTTTTTCTTTTACGACATATCAACCTTGTTTTTCTTTTACGGCATATCAACCTTGTTTTTCTTTTACGGCATATCAACCTTGTTTTTCTTTTACGGCATATCAACCTTGTTTTTCTTTTACGGCATATCAACCTTGTTTTTTTTTTTACGGCATATCAACCCTTTGACATATCAACCTTTTTTCTTTTACGGCATATCAACCTTGTTTTTCTTTTTACGACATATCAACCTTGTTTTTCTTTTTTACGGCATATCAACCTTGTTTTTCTTTTTTTCTTTGTTTTTTTTACGGCATATCAACCTTGTTTTTCTTTTACGACATATCAACCTTGTTTTTCTTTTACGGCATATCAACCTTGTTTTTCTTTTACGGCATATCAACCTTGTTTTTCTTTTACGACATATCAACCTTGTTTTTCTTTTACGACATATCAACCTTGTTTTTTTCTTTTTACGGCATATCAGCCTTGTTTTTCTTTTTTACGGCATATCAACCTTTTTTTTTTTTTTTTACGACATATCAACCTTTTTGCATATTTTTTTTTTACGACATATCAACCTTGTTTTTTCTTTTTACGGCATATCAACCTTGTTTTTCTTTTACGGCATATCAACCTTGTTTTTCTTTTTTTACGGCATATCAACCTTTTTTTTCTTTTTTACGACATATCAACCTTGTTTTTTCTTTTTTATCAACCTTGTTTTTTTTACGGCATATCAACCTTGTTTTCTTTTTACGGCATATCAACCTTGTTTTTCTTTTTTACGGCATATCAACCTTGTTTTTCTTTTACGACATATCAACCTTGTTTTCTTTTACGACATATCAACCTTTGTTTTTCATATCAACCTTTTTACGGCATATCAACCTTGTTTTTTCTTTTTCAACCTTTTGTTTTTTTTTACGGCATATCAACCTTGTTTTTCTTTTTACGGCATATCAACCTTGTTTTTTTTTACGGCATATCAACCTTGGCTTTACGACATATCAACCTTGTTTTTCTTTTACGACATATCAACCTTGTTTTTCTTTTTTTTTTTTTTTTACGACATACCTTTTTTTTTTTTTACGGCATATCAACCTTTTTTTTTTTTACGACATATCAACCTTTTTTTTTTTTTTACGGCATATCAACCTTGTTTTTTCTTTTTACGGCATATCAACCTTTGTTTTCTTTTACGGCATATCAACCTTTTTTTTCTTTTACGGCATATCAATATTTTGATTGCTGGTAATTTTTTCCCCAAAATCTATTGCTTGTAATAATTTTTTTTTCCAAAAATGTATTAAAACATTTTTACACTTTCACAGTGTTTTGACCCCAGTTTTAGGGTCACCTATTTGCCTATAATTATGACCCTGACAGGCAATACCGCCCGGGATCAGAGTGGACCTGGGAACACCAGCAATTAAGAGGTGGTCCCACGCTTTTCAAAACCTCCTGATCAGAGGCCTTGTTGCTGGATTTAGTTTATCGTCATACCCAAGACGGAATTTGCTTTTAAACAAAAAGAAACGATTGCTCTTAGCAGATTTTTTTAAAAATGCGTTTCAGCGGAACCGTCGTATAGCCTGACGTGCCTTTAACCGATTGAGCCACAGAGGAGCGTTCGGTTAGCAAGGTCGATTTTATTGTTTTTAAACTACAATCGTCTATGATTCTCTCACGTACATTAATATCTGCTCATGGCGTATCCAAATGTAAACAAATGTCGTCTGACGTAAAATATTGGTACCATTACTGAAGGCCTGAATGTTTTTTTTTTATCTCATCGTTGCTTAGTTTGGAATACAGTGGGCCTGGCAGAAAATGATTTTAACCTGTTCTCATTCTAACTGAATAACTTAAAGAGTTTTTTAGTGAGTCTTACGACAGATGGCGTCAAGATGGCTAAACGTCTAATCTGAAAACCTGGAAAAAAGAAACTCAATTAGTTTGGTGTCTTTTAGATATTGAACATTTTGTGGGATGGACAATTATGCTGTTACACGATTTGTAAATTTTGTAAGTGGACGTTGATGTGAACACCAAGTAGTAATTCTGTTTTATACTTAAACGCAATCGCCAAGTCATGAAGATTGCGTTTAAGCATGAAACAAACTATCGTCGGAGCGTGTTGACCTCAATGTCCATTTGCATATTTACATTTGCATACACTCTATTCCTGATAGCGGACATTTTAACCCATAAATATCACATAAAGCTATATTTTATGTATACATACACACACACACACACACACACACACACATATATATATATATATATATATATATATATATATATATATATATATATATATTCATTTATTATTCCTTCTCTGTCGCTTTTACCGTTGCTATTTAATTATCAAACTTTTGGTTCAGCACCGACATCGATCTGAACTGTTTAGCCTAACATGCTAGTTTCAATCGTGTGTCCATATATATATATATATATATATATAATATATATATATATATATATATATATATATATATATATATATATATATATATATATGTGTGTGTGTGTGTGTGTGTGTGTGTGTGTGTGTGTGTGTGTGTGTGTGTGTGTGTATAAGTGCGCAGGTATGCAGAAAATAGAAAAGAACACATTGGGTGCATGATCCGGAGTTCCTTAGTATTTTTGTTTTTATTTTTAAGAAGACAGTGCTCCATACAGAAGTACAGCTTTATTATAATAATATTTTTTGTTTAAAAATATGATTTCTTTGCTACATAAATTTCGCTTGAAGATGAAACAGGACTAAACACCTCAATTCAACTTAATTTTGATAATTATTTGGATGGTTTCGGCTCTCGTTTTTGAAACATGGGAACTCTTATGTAGCGAGGGAATCATATTTTTAAACAAAAAATATTATATATATATATATATATATATATATATATATATATCATATGTAGTTTGGCATAGCTTATATTTGGTTAATTAGTGCTTTGACTTTAATTTCTTGATGAATACCAAAAACAATGAGAAAATAAAAATAGCGTAGTTAGATCGCCATTTAAAGGAGCCTTCACCCCAACACCATCACATCACACCCCCGCCAAGTAAAATTTTTTTACCATCTAGGTACCTCTATCCAGCCCCCACTACCATCTCCACCTACACAACCCACCCCAAGATAGTGATTTCGGCTTTGCTTGGACTCTTCTCCTACCTAGCCTTATATTCCAACCACAACCCATTGAATATGGTCCTGAATTCGAGATGTATTTCAGAGTCTACCGTAATTTTCACTAATTCACTATTGATACTAAGTCTGCCAAGGATCATATGAAGCTCTACTTGTAAGTAAGTTAGAAAACCTTGTCTTCTGATGTTGTTTGTAAATGTTTAACTCTTTTGTTACTATTTTTTGTTTCTCTTTTGTTGTTGTTGTTTTTCTCTCTCCGATATCTTCACTTATCATTCCTTCCCTGTTGTTATTCACTCTTCTCCATTTCTACTTAATTATCTAACTTTTTCTCTTTTTTCCCCAAAAAAAAATATGTTTACACGCTGTTATTTATGAATGATGAAAAATTAAGTGTTACCACACCGCGTTTTTAGTTGCTAGTAGACATCAGAACTTATATTAAGTCATTACTTAATAAATATAAATTCGTTCTCAATTTTTTTACAGGTTAATAGTATATAGACCCACTTATCGTCCGGTCCGCACTCCTTCCATGTCTATTGAACAGGAGTATAGGTTTATCCCGTGTTTCCTGTTTAGGATATGATTTACTGGTTCTCTTTCTTTTTCTTACCAGGACCAAAATGTCTTAACTGTCTTAACTCTTTCGTGATCAGACTAACCAATGGATGTGACTTTCCATTATGAGGGTGCCGGGTTGGTAGTTTACTGGCTGTTGCTTCCGATCTGTCGATAGGAGCCCGAATTATTTGGTAGCGTTTAGAGAGGCAGCTCCCATCGTATCGATGTATCTGTACTGCCATGTTGCGAATGAGTAGGTGTCCCTGCATGTATTTCCGGTGAAATTTCCGGCCATATTATGCGTTGTTCTCAGCCACGTACTGGCTGGTTTGTATTGCCAATGACGACAGATAGTGACAATTTTTTAACATCTTAAGTTATTATTTTGTCTTCAAGTTATCCACAAAAACAATGGACATATGTCAAAAACCTGAGTACAGATTCAGAATTACGTGACTTGATTTGGTCTACCATCATTAATACTAATAATACTATTTTAAGACAGTTGTTATGTTTATACATTCTTTTTATAGAAACAAAAAATTTAAGTAAATGCTCTGTTTATAATAAACAGAATTAAACAACATTTACCGGCCTGAATGTCCGAGAAATTTTCACAGAAAATATTCGCCCTCCGACAGGATTCGATGTGTATCCTATACGGAACCGTCATTTAGCTTGATGTGCCTTTACCAATTTGGCCACGAAGGAGCGCTCGGTTAGCAAGGTCGAATTTACTGTATTTAAACTTCAACCTTCCATGAATCTCTCACGTACATTCATGTCTTCTCATGGCGTATCAAATGTAAGCAAATGATGTCACACATTATGAAATGGACAAAGTCCGACAATTATTTTAAGACATTTTTATGTTTAACATTCTTTTTATAAATACAAATATTTAATAATACTATATTCATACTAATACTTAATACTACATTCTGGAGCTAAAATAGAAGAGGGTTTTATTGCCCAGTCCTTTCATAAACTTAAACGTGTGCCACCTAGTGGGCATCTTGGCAGACAAGGTGGAGGTAATCCCCACAATGGTAATGGTAATATAAGCCGTTTGCCTACAAGGAAACATTTAGCATTCATTGACTGAGCATCTAGTAACGCTTTTTTGTTGAAATTTATAAAATCTTAGAACAATTGTTCAGGAAAATGGGTTTCTTGAGTCCAGTAGCTGTTATTGCTCTTTCTACTATTGATGGGGAGGAGCTCTTCCCAACCTTTTATTTGAAGTAGTGTCAAATGTTAACATCTTTATTAAGTTATTTTATCTTCAAGTTACATGCAGTATCCACAAACCTATGGACATATGTAAAAAACCTGAGTACAGATTCAGAATTAGATGACTTGATTTGGTCTAGCATCATTTGTTTGCGTAACAGATAAAAAGAGTTTTGTTTGACCCCATATTTCATATCATACTTCAAAGATAGCTTTCAAGATAAGTTTCCAAATGCATAGTTTAACATTTCTGCTGCAGTTGACATATGGGTAACTATTTGCAAATCCTTCAGTGTATTTTGAACAGGCGTAGAGGTTTATCCCTTGTTCCCTGTTCAGGATATGGTTTACCAGTTCTCTTTCTTTCTCTAACCAGGGCCACAATGATTTAACTGCATTGACTCTTTGGTGATCAGACTAACCAGTGACTGTGATTTTCCCTTGTGAGGATATCGGGTTGGCAGTTTGTTGGCTGCTGATTCAGACAAATCGTTAGGAACCCGAACACTTCGGTGTGGCTTTAAAAAGCTGCTCTGATCAACAGCCGCATAATACAGGTTAATAGGAGTAGATAGGTTCACCTATCATCTGGCTTATACTCCTTCCATTTCTATTGAACAGGAGTAGAGGTTTATCCCTTGTTCTCTGTTCAGGATATGGTTTACCATTTCTCTTTCTTTCTCTTACGAGGGCTGCAATGAGTTAATTGCCTTAACTCTATAGTGATCAGACTAACCAATGGCTGTGACTTTCCATTATGAAGGTACCAGTTTGGCAGTTTGCTGTCTGCTGCTTCTGACTGGTCCTCAGGATCCCGAGGGTGCCTTCCTCTTTGCCGAAAAGATTCCATTATTCACATGCATGGTCTTGGTGTTTACAGCCGTGATAATCTGCCGATGACCAGGGAATTGTCTTTCGAGGTCACTGACTGCTCTTTCATGTGCTTCGGTCTTTCACTACTAAACTCTATCAGCTATCTCTTTTTTTTCTTTATGGCTCCCTCTCTT